AAAAAAAAAAAAAAAAAAAAAAAAAACTGAAGATTCGGCAAATATTAACTCTACTCAGCGCGACGGATCCAGAAATTTTTATCAGTCGGGGCAAAAATAGTTCAAACAGTTTAATCATATCGCAAAGTACATACATTAACAGTTAAATAAATCATTGGAACGATTGAGTGTTGAGGGGTTCTCTATTCAATTTGTTTTTGACTTGATGCTAAAAATAAAATTGAGAATGACCTCTGGTTATTTTATTTTGTGTTTTTATTAATATTAAGAAATATACTAAAAATATTTTACAATTATTTTTCCTTCATTTGTTGTGTAATGAGAAATAAACAAGTCATTTTGAAATATAATTTATTAACTTAAAAAAGCCTACATGTCATTATTTTTGTTCATTTTATTTTATAAAGATTTTCTTATGGATAATATTTTTATATATAAATGTAGAGTTTTTCATTGTCAATTTCCAACCTTTGAAATTCGATATGTTAATTTCAAAGGATTCAAAATAGTCCATATAAATATGGATATTTATCTAGAACTTTCAAGTTTAAACGCTTGGGTAACATAAATTGTAAATATATTCTAAAGTAAATAACATTTGTAAATGTTATCATTTTTTATACATGATAACTTAAATGTTGACAATGTATAATATGGCATTCATATTGTATATGTAAATTTAAATAATTATATCTAACTGATATCTATAAAAAAAAATTAATAATTATCAATTATAATTAAAAACAATAAATTTATCTATCAAGCTTATTATACGGTATAAGTACTAAAAATGTTCTAATATAATATCGTCGAATCCGACTGGTGAGGTGTATCATTTTAAATAAAAATAATTATGTTATTTTGTAGGAACTATTGAAAATTCTAAAATAAAATCTTGTATTTATATTTTTACATATATTAAATATAAAATGTTAATTAACTCATATTAACTATATGTAGTTAGTACAAAAAATTGAGCCTAGGCAATTGCTTAAGCTTGCCCTAGTGTAGATCCGCCATTGCTACTCAGGGTAATACCCCAAAGAGGTTTTAGATGTTGGATGCTACTGTTAGGGTAAATATTAAGGCTACACAACGTTCGTGAAAAAAATCTCGTTCGAACTTGTTTGTTTGTTAATTGAATCGATTCGAAAAGAAAAATAGGCTAATTCAATAATCAAACGAACAAAAGCTCCTTCACGAACATTAAATTTATTTTATTTTTTATATATTTACACAATAGTTTTAATAAAACAAAAATATTTGTATTTGTTCATTATTATTTTTTAGTTCAAACGAATAAATTTTGAGTTAATCAAACGTATTTATAAACTTTGTGTCCTAAATTATTCGAACACGTACGAACTCAAATTTTAATGAAAATTAATGAATCAAACACGACTTTTTGCCCAATATAAAGGAACCATTACGAATAGTGTTCGAACGTAAACGGTCACAAGCTCAAAATGCCCAAACTCGACCGTTCTGTTCGATTACTAACACTAGGTGAAATCATCCATCTTTGGTTCACATCATACTTTGCATCAATCAACAAACATATATAAAATATATAAAAAAAATGGAAAAAAAAAACTTCAATTAACCTACAATTCTTTGAGTCAAGTTCTAATACCAACGAACTTCCTTATCAATCTTGAGGACTACCAAAAGTTTGTTGTTCAATGTTAATCTACATGACAACAAAAGTAACACACACCAAAGTAACTAGAAGAATATCAACAATCAAGAAGCAGAGTTTTACAAGACCC